CTGCTGTCTGGAACAATTTTCTTTGCCTTTTTCTTTTCTTTTCTTTTCTTTTTCCACTACATATTTTATTTTCTCTTCCTTCTTTTTCCCAGTATATCACAGCTCAAATGTCCCTTCTTTGGGGAGGCTTTCCTTTTTTTAAATTTTACTTCATTTTATTTTTGGCTGCGTTGGGTCTTCATTGCTGCACGTGGGCTTCCTCTAGTTGTGGGGAGCGGGGGCTACTCTTCATTGCGGTGCGCGGGCTTCTCATTGCAGTGGCTTCTCTTGTTGCGGAGCACGGGCTCTAGGCACGCGGGCTCAGTAGTTGTGGCTTGCGGGCTCTAGAGCACAGGCTCAGTAGTTGCGGCGCATGAGCTTAGTTGCTCTGAGACATGTGGGATCTTCCCAGACCAGGGCTCGAGCCAGTGTCCCCTGCATTGGCAGGCAGATTCTTAACCACTGCGCCACCAGGGAAGTCCCTGGTGAAGCTTTCCTTGACCTTGCCTCCTAGTTCAGAGCCCTGATACGTTCTCATAGCATTCTGTACTTTTTCCCCATGTGCTTGTCACACTTACAATCATACATTTATTTGTGTGCTTGTTTAATGTCTGTCTCATTAGACGACAGGATTCACAAAGGCAGGGACAGTATCTGTTCCTTACAACCTAGCATATTAATTGGCAAACAATACACATTCAGTATATATTAAAATTAAGCGTTTAATGAAGTGCTTATAAGATGCTATGATCTTGCTGTTACCCCCAGAGGTAGATATTATCATTTCACCCTTTTTACCTGTTTAAGCTTCCTTATAAGATACCATTTGAACAGAAGATTCCATAGCTAAAAAAGCTGGAAAGTCTGTGCAGTATACCAGGCCATCTTCTTTTCATGCTGCCTTAGCTCAAAGTATATAAACTATATTCAGGAATTGCTCCCTGACTTTGGCCTGAGACATTCAGGTTCTGCCCTGGCTTAGGTTGACTTTTTTTTCCTTCCTCCCAGGTGGACTAACCCAGGATCTGAAAGCTGCCTCCAGCTGCTTTCTGATGGCATGTGAGAAGCCAGGAAAGAAGTCCTTGGAGGCATGCCACAACGTTGGTCTCCTGGCACATGATGGACAGGTCAATGAGGATGGCCAGCCCGATCTGGAGAGGGCCAGAGACTACTACACAAGGGCCTGTGACGGCAGCTATGCCTCTAGCTGCTTCAACCTCAGTACCATGTTCCTGCAGGGTGCCCCCGGCTTTCCCAAGGACATGGGCCTGGCATGCAAATACTCAATGAAAGCCTGTGACCTAGGCCATGTCTGGGCCTGTGCCAATGCCAGCCGCATGTACAAGCTGGGGGATGGTGTCGATAAGGATGAAGCTAAGGCTGAAGAGCTAAAAAATCGGGCCCGGCAGCTGCACAAAGAGCAGCAGAAAAATGTCCAGCCTTTAACGTTTGGGTAGTGTGGCCCGTCCTCCTAGGCAACAGTCAGCTTGAGGCTGGCACCTCCTATTTCTGATGCAGCCCTTGGAGGTCGACCTGCTGGAGCAGAAAGACTTGGGATTTAATATCAATAACTCTGATTGTATAGACCCATTGCCACAGAGTGTCACCTACGGGGATGTAGTCTGAAATGTGTATTTCAATCAGTATTCCTTTATCTGGTGTGATCCACATTTATGGGATTTTGGTTCTCAAACTCTTGCAGCTCTGTGAAAAACAGCAAACCAGTGAGCCATAGAGATTGGAGGGGTGGGCAGGAGAGACAGAGCAGGGAGTTGGAAAAATTAGCAGCCACAGGGCATGAAAGAATCAGACATCATCATCATTATCATTATTTTAGTTGGGAGGGCTTAAAAAATCAGAAAGTATCTTGATTTACATAATAGCGGGTTTAAGGAACTAAGAACAGTTAAATAGTCATGACTGCCACCCTCTGACTTAATCTTTGGTGTGGGCTTCCTTTTTGCCTTTAGAGTCAGATATTTCAGCAAATTCAGAGATTGGGAGTTACATGTGACGTAACAGTTAAAGGCCATTATGCTTCAGGGTTGCTAAAGAGGATACAACATAAGCCTTCCTTTAGTGGAGACATTCACACGTTAAAAATTAACATCCCCAGGCTACTCATCTGGCACAGCTAATAAGGTAACTTCAGCTAGGGATTTGTATGCAAGGGTTGGTGATACGTTTTGTCCCTCAGAACTGAACCTTTTTAATTGTCCCTGTGAATAAACTATTTTGATTGATTAGTAGTTTGAGTTATTAGTGTTCGCTCCAGATTCTTGGTAAGGTAGAGATTATGTTCTTTGTGGTGGTTGTGCCTTTTAAGAATGTTTGCTTTTTCTGTTATCTTCCTTACTTGACACTAGGGGGCGAGCTTGTCATTTGCCAGCTGATGACATGATCATTATTTCTGTCATCACGATGTTTTCGGGCTTTCAGTTTTGCAACGTGTATTGGAGAGGATGTGGAGAAATTGAAAGCCTTATACATTGTTGGTGGGAATGTAAAATGGTGCAGCCACTATGGAAAACAATATGGCGATTCCTCAAAAAATTAAACATAGATTTACCGTATGGTCTAGTAATTCTCCTTTTGGGTATATATCCAAAAGAATTGATAGCAGGGTCTCCAAGAAGTATTTGTACACCCACGTTCATAGCAGCATTCACAAAAGCCAGAAGGTGGAAACAGGGACTTCCCTGGTGGCACAGTGGTTAAGAATCCACCTGCCAGTGTAGGGGACACGGGTTCGAGCCCTGGTCCAGGAAGATCCCACATGCCATGGAGCAGCTAAGCCCGCATGCCACAACTACTGAAGCCTGCGCACCTAGAGCCCATGCTCCGCAGCAAGAGAAGCCACTGCAATGAGAAGCCTATGCAACACAATGAAGAGTAGCCCCTGCTTGCCGCAACTAGAGAAAGCCTGCACGCAGCAACGAAGACCAATGCAGCCAAAAATAAATAATTTTTTTTTTTTTAATGCAAAGAATAATAATATATTGTCCAGCAGGGTCCAAGGCCATTTCATATCCAGGTTGCTATGGGCAGGAATAGGTTGATAAGAGCCAGCATGGTTGAGTTTCTCACTTCTGTGCAACCTTTGAGGTAAGGTTTGAAAATGGGTTTTCACACTCTGGTCTCAGCAAACAAGATCATTACTCTGTCTTCTGGGCAGCAGGCAACTGTATCCAACATTTTTCCTCCATCCCAGGCCTGAGCTGGATGGTGTAATGGGGAAGAAGTTTCATAATTGACCAGTGGTTTGTGTTCTCGTTTGTGTTCTCACTAAAATCTCAGTGTAGTGCTCAGGGCTGTGAGAAAGGGAATCAGGAGTCCCAGAGAGAGAGGAGGAGGCTGGGGGGTCTCGAGATTTGCGTGTTGTCATACAGAGTCACTGACGGGTTTTGAGCGGGAGAATGAAATGATGACATTTGGAAATTAGATCACTGTAGTGTGGAAAATGGATTAAAGAGCCTGTGGGAATAGGAGGAGGGTGGAGTCAAGCATGGGGTTAAAAAAAAACCCGGATTTCTAGCCTGGGCACATGGATGGATAGGGGAGCCACCCATATTGATTTGGAGCCTTTGAGATCAAGGGGAACAAAAAAACTTTTTTGAGCTGTTTGCTAATTTTTAAAAAAATTTAGAAATACTTTAATTTTAGTTTGTCAAAGTTTTATGAAATTGCTTGAAAAATTTTGTGAGAGGCAGCATGGCAGAGGAAAAAGGCCTAGACTTCGAAGGCCCTACAGATGTGGGCAACTCTGGCTTAGTCAAAGAATTACTGAGTGCGAGTATTAAAGAATGAGAAAATACAAATTAAAAAATAATTTTATGTATTTAAAAAGCATTACGCCGGCTTCCCTGGTGGTGCAGTGGTTGAGAGTCTGCCTGCCGATGCAGGGGACATGGGTTCGTGCCCCAGTCCGGGAAGATCCCACATGCCGTGGAGCGGCTGGGCCCGTGAGCCATGGCCACTGAGCCTGCGCGTCCGGAGCCTATGCTCTGCAACGGGAGAGGCCACAACAGTGAGAGGCCTGCATACCGCAAAAAAAA